CCGGGGAAAAAAAAGAACCCCCCCCCCCCAAAAAAAAAAAAGACTATGAGCTGGATGATATTTGATAGTGGACCATAATTTGTGCCAATACCCAGCAGTTCATCACAACATACACTAAGCTCCTCAGCCACAACCCCAAGAAGACATTCTGGCTCAAGAATTCCAGTTTATAAGCCTCACTCAACCACAGAACCTGCGCTGCAACCCATACCGCAAGGTAGAGCATACCGCGCTTGGCAGAGATATCCAACCGCGGGATGAGGAGCGGCAAAAAAAGCGTATACCACAGAAAGTACTGTGAAAATTCGAACTGAGGATTTGCCGAGACAAATGATGAAGCGGACGGACCTGGGAAGTACAAACTTTGTTGAATACAACGAACGTCACGGTCTGTACAAACCATGCAAAGACAAGATCGTCCTTCCGCTGCCCAAAGAGCAGACCCGACCCGAGTGAGAGAACCAGCTGAGGCACGAAACTAGTCAAAGGCGATCTCAAGAATCGCTTCCAAAGGGGCATTCCAGACAGATCGGAAATGGAAATGGATGTATACGTGAGATAAATCTGGTAAAAATATGGTGAGAAGTTGTGTCGATGATCCAACCGGTGTACGTGGTACAGATATGTTTCATAGAGGAAGGGGTAACCCCATCTACCACCAGTGAGGTTAGAGGATATTGAATACCATAGCCATATTCGGACGTACATAGCATACATGCACACGTTCAGGGCCAAAAAGGTGCTTGCACTCAACAAGCCAAACTTGATCGTAGCCCGATTAAGAATCCGCGCAAGGTACTGTTTCCAGCCCCCACCGACGCCAGTTACACTGCTGATCGCCCCAAGGCAGGCAATGCCGTAAATGAAAGGGTATATTTTCCAATGAGTACTGAGACCCAAGAAAAGCGCGGTGGCATTCCACCTGGACTTAAGAGCACAGTAGAGAGCGGAGAGCACGAACAAAGAGAGCACGGCCTCGGATGATCCGCGCGTTGATATGGTGAACACAAGGGGGCTGAATAGATGACTCGAAACAAGTAGAGTCGCGCGACGTCGAATAGCCCCATCGCGTTCTTTTTGGCCCTCAGACATCTTCGCTCCGGGTGACCGAAGTGTAGACGGGAGAATAACCGACACCAACATTCGGTACATCAATATACCTGCGAGAATATCACATCCTGCAAAAAAACATTTTCCAAAAGACGCGTGCAGCCATTCGTTTGGAGCCAGCAACAGAGCGAGCAGTGGTGTATAGCGATATGTCGCCCTGGTATACGGGCTTCGTGAACATAAGTACAACACAACATACGGAATCAACATCAAAGCACGTACGTTCCAACTGTAAGCCATGCTCCTATAGGACCTTGAGCGTTATTGTCGGACACAGGGTGAAGCACAAAGTGAGCGGCATCACTGAAAACACGGTAGTCGATGTCTGTATATTTCACGACTGAGTGAGCGTCGTGCCATTCACTGTAGACGATAAGCGCAATCCGCAAGAACGTTGCAGCTAGTATAATATTGGTGAATGAAGGTAGGCTGCGCTCTAGTGCTTGCTGAGGTTGTAGTAAACCCATCGTGTGTTGCGTCAATCGACACGGCCGGTGTAACCAGAAATCGCAACACGTGCAAATCGCCGACATGTTGCATTTGAAATTCAGGTTTTAGAGCTCTGAGCTAAGGAGCGAAGCAAACTCAAGAAGTAAATGTAGAGAATATAAAAGCGAAACAGCGACAGGCAAGTACTAGACATGGAAGACAGCTAGTTCTAAACCATAACAACAATAAGTCCTATATGCTCAAGCAAACACAGTAATATTGCTCGTCGGATTAAATCTATGAGGGTACCGTTAGCTATGATCAACATAGTCCAGAAACACGCACATATTGTGACAACCAACGGAAGCCCTCTCCATAACCCTGCCTTTGCACGACTGAGCACATGAAAATCTCGATAGGGCGAATGTCGCTGAGAGGAACCTTGCCCTATGGGAACGGTCAGGAGATGACACCAAATAGTAAGAAATCGTACACACCTTCCCAGTGGTCTGATATAAGCCTAAGTGATGTCTGAGTTCCTCCTCGCTAACAGCACCGGGGGCGTCAATCTTGTTGCCGAGAATGAGGAAGGGGACCTTCGAGAGTTCTTCGATGGACAGAAGGGCATCCAATTCCGCCTTAGACTCTGCGAATCGCTCAAAGTCCGCACTGTCGACAAGGAACACAATGCCGTCCACTTCAGGGAAGTAGTCACGCCAGAGCCGACGAGCTAGGCAAAAGACCACAGTCAGCATTCGATAGCTAACTTATAGATAGTTACTACCTTGCAAGTGACCACCCAAATCGTATGTTGTGAACTTGACATTGCCAATTGCGAGTTCCTCGGATGCTGTGCATCTTTGCATCAGAGAACCATAGCCGAAAACACTATTCTGAACATACTAGGATGAAGAGTAGGCTGTAACGTCGCTAGGCGGTCATTCTTCAGCATATGGAGTAATGTCTATGGCCTGGTTAGACTGTTTCTGGCATGTTGAATGTATTAACCTTACCGTCTTTCCGGCATTGTCGAGACCAAGGAAAAGGATTTTAGCATTCTTGTGCAGCAGCCCTGGAAAGTGATGAGATGGACTCCATGCTTGAGACTTTTAGACACACCAAGCTGTGCAAGGACGTCCCAGAACCAATTGATAATGAACATGGCAGCGGGGAGAAAGCTAAGGAATGAGCTGAGGGCACGTCGACGAGCGACCTTGTAACACTCGTGACGTGACACCCGTCCCCTTGACGTCACAAAAGCGCCCCGAGCGAGCCAGGTACTCGGTGCAGCGACAGGTTTTCCACCATTGGGATGAGTGCAACGCAACCTTTGACTTCTTCCGGCATGTGTGCTCAGCCTGTCTTATTTCTCACAGATATGATGTAGTCCTCTGGTCATGCGTTCACTGCATTCAAACAACAGGACTGACGCCCGCACCGCACGAAACTAGCAGTTTCCTGTTAACTTGATATTTATAATTCACTTGAAAGCAACATGTTGAGCACTTGAAACTTGAAGACTGCACCAGTTAGTCATCCCTCGATCTTCAAGCTTCAAGTTTACTTCTCGTCGTATGTCACGACACCACTGATATACCTATCACTGCAAGGTGCATGTACCCAGACTTTCAGAATTAGGACAACGTCACATTTATCATAAGTCATGTTCAAATTTTGTGATATATGAAAACAAATGTAGGGAAGTTCTGACACTCACGTCACCGTAAGAGGAAGTGCGAGAGTTCTTTTGCTACCCGACGAGCCTCGCTCTCTGCAGTACCGAATCGCCATACCCCGCGTGATTAAGTCTGCAATGGATAGGCACTGTCTATATGGCTGCATAAGAGAAAATTGTGCCGCGTCCTGCAGCCCATATATACTGCGTTGTTTGTCATTGTTTGCGACGAGGCAAACGCACGGACCATGGTCCTACCGATAATCGTTACATTATCCAAGTTATCTGGGATAGCATCGGGTCGTTGGATATAGATCCACACAAGCGAACGACTCACAATTTCGGGACTACCTAGTACTACAACTGGGCCGCCAGCCACTCTTGTAGAGGAAGAAGCTCGCTGTCTTGCGCATCCTTCTCGTTAGTCCCAGAGAGTCCCTTGCCGACACTTACAGATGTGCCAATAAAGACGACCTCCCCTCCCTCCCAATTTGCGAATCTGAATTCACCATTCCCACTGCATTCTAGGCCACCAACATCCGATTCTGTTTCTTCTGCACCGAGACCCTCTATCCCTACACCTCCCGCCTGGGATGCACGACGCTTCTCGAGTTCTCGCTCCAGAATCGTTCGCACTCGGTTCAATGCAAGCTGTTCCGACGTAGCTTGAGCTGTCGGCTTGAGAGTATCGCACTTGTGGGCAACAATAGATAGCGAAGGTGTCGAACGGGAAGGCGGTAGAGATGTTATAGCATGGAGAATCTGGTGAAGATACCTAAGAAGTCCTAAGACATATATTCAAACGTGCCTTGAACAACAGGCTTACTCTGCAACCGCAGGCCCAATTCTGGATATTGTGCTCGAGTCGACCACAAAAACAATGCCTTTTGCATCGGACAGAAAATCACGAAATTGGTCTCGGATTCGGGGGTGACCAGGAATGTCGATGAGTCGGATAGTCGTGTTGCCAACTGACATCATCACGCTATTGGTCTGCATGGATGTGTGCGTTTGGGGCGTGTGCTTGTACACAAGCTGAGTTGCACGTTAGACGAGTAAGGTCGCCAAGGATATACAAGATCTCTGACCGTGGATAGGATGGCAGTCTTTCCGGCATCTGAGGCTCCAACCAACAGAACAGAGTTACCTCTTGAAGCAAGTCTCCTCCTTGAAAGGATGACAAAGACTTTGATATGTTGATTCAAGAACATTTGGTTTACCATAATTAGAGTACTTACTAGCCACCAACAGAACCGCAAGCGACAGCGATGCTATAACTAGCGCCTGCGGCGTGAAGATAGATACAGGAAACATTACTTCTGGCTCAATTGTTGCGGCTTGACGGCTCCCATGTTCCATGGTCCAAGCGCCAGTGATATTTGGGACAGCCCTGGGGGAAAGATGAAGGTTACACCGTACAGTATTGTAGCCACCCCATAGACGGTGCTCCGGGTGTAAGTTTATTTATGCGTATTAGGATCTAAAGGCGTCGGACAATAAGTCAAAACAACCCTCACTTCGATTAATCACGTGCGATAAATTTAGAGCGTAACTCTGTAACAAAGTAAGTTTTGCACAGGACAAGAACTGCAGCTTAGTCTGATTGTGTGTTTAGCCTATAATGGTGGCTGTATCCACTTCAGACACTGACCAAAATCACACGCTACCACCTCGGAAACGTCTTCGCACAGAACGCGATGCTAGTCGAGAGCCCACAGCGACAGAGCCTCATCTTTTCATGCCCTTCCGTGCGCTAGGCTTGATTACGAACCACGTACCGCTTGTTTTGCAAACTCGATCTTACAAGGGCTCCACGGAAGGCCCCCGCATACATCTTTTAACTTGTCTAGGACGATCATGGGCTATGTGGGAAGGGGGCAAGATGGCGCTTCTATTCGTTGGTGAGCGAGTCGTGAAGGATGGATAATATTTGAACGCTCAAGCAAAGTCTCGAATTACGCTAGGGCCTGACTTACCACAGCACATTACATCTATGTGCATGGACGGAAATGCGGTTTGGGTCTCTAGCGGCCCTACAGTTATCAAGTACATCAGAGGGAAAGAGGTTAGTGCAAAATAGCATTTCTCTTGTACATGACGCATCCAATTATTCTCTTTTCGCAGGCAGGCAGGGTCATCAATCCACTTCAGACGGATCTTGCATCCGTACTCGTTTTTGGCTCTCAGCTGCTTGCTCTTACGGAAGACAGAACCCGGATGTTAATATGGGGAACTGAAGATGAGGGTATGTTAAGCAATTCTGATGTGATCCTGGATGAACAAATGTCTGCAGAATTGCAGGCAACTATCGAGTTTGACACAGACTTTGCCGCTACATCGATTCTTCATCCTGCCACGTACCTGAACAAGGTTCTAGTTGGAAGTCTCCGGGGTTCAATGCAACTTTGGAACATCCGGACTCAGTGAGTGACTCGCCGATCGAGCCACGGTACATAACCAATTACGTCTATTATGTTCTGGCACTCAGGACTTGCATTTATGCCTTCAAATCTTCGACCATGCTCAGTCTTTCGACCCAGCCCTCTCATTCGTCCATACCTGCCATCACAGCGCTCGTACAATCCCCTGCTATTGATGTTGTTGGGATTGGCTTTGCGTCCGGAGAAATTTCAGTATTCGACGTAAGGACTGACGAGCGGTTAATGAGAATGGCTATGGAAGATGGTGCGATCAGAGCACTATCATTCAGGAGTGGTAAGAGTTTTATTAAATATGTAGAAGCTGCTTCGAACCATATGACCAGACGGGCAACCTATACTAGCATCAGCGTCATCTATGGGTCACATAGCGTTATGGGATCTCAATGCCGGTGGCCGCCTGCTTCATTTGATACGCGGTGCTCATGACGGCGCAGTGACCGCGCTAGAGTGGGTACCTGGACAACCTTTGCTGATTAGCTCTGGGGAGGACAACAGTGTTAAGGTATGTAGACACTGCGCTAACAGTCGGCTGATATCTGACACGTCTAATAGCAATGGGTCTTCGACTCTCCTACTGCTGCTCCCCGTTTACTCAAATATCGTTCGGGACACCGCGTACCCCCACACCTCATTAGGTATTATGGAGAGGACGGGAAGCAACTTTTAACTGCATCGAGCGACAGAAGTTTGCGTTGTACCAGCGTTGTCAGGGACTCCAGGAGTTTCGAGCTGAGTCAAGGTATATGCTTCGCAATTAGGAAGACATAGTTATTTGACTAATCATACCTCACAAATAGGCTCATTGGCTAAAAAAGCATCACATCTTTCCATTCCGATCGCATCGCTCAAATTCCCACCGATCTCAGCTCTCTCTTACTCGACTACTCGGTCTAAAGATTGGGACGATATTCTCACCGCCCATTTGGACGAAGCTTCTGCTCGCACATGGACCGTGAAGGACAAAAAGCTGGGCAAGTACACATTCGCCTTTGATAATGGGGGGAAGCGGGGGGCTCCGACAGGTCTTGTGAAAGTAAGCTTTTTTTAAAGTAAATTTTGGATACGCTTGCGTTTATTCAATAATTTAGGCAGTATGTGTGTCGGCCTGCGGTAACTTTGGCTTCATATCGTCAACAATTGGCGCGATACACATGTATAATATGCAGTCTGGAATGATGCGGAGAACATTCGTCGTGGGGCCATGTCCGCCGGAAGTCATCAGCAAGAATCGACCCGTTGGGACCACAAAAAAACAACTAGAGCAACGTTGTGTTACTGGATTGGCAACAGATGCTCTCAACTCGGTCGTGATCGCTAGCACATTAGACGGGACGATTAATGTAGGCGACGATAATTCATCATGTGGTTGATACTAACGTCCTGCACAGTTCTTTGATTTTCACACTACACATTTAGACAAGTTGCTGGTGTTGCCTTCTGACGTGATCTCAGTCACACTTCATCGCGATAGCGGGCTGCTTGCTGCTATATGCGACGACCTCACTATTCGAATTGTAGACATCGAGACACGCAGTGTAGTAAGAGAGTTGCGCGGCTTTCGTGGCCGAATATTGGATCTTGTAAGTGTACCTCATTTTGAAAGTAGTGCGCATGACTGACTAAAAATCATAAACGCCAGGCGTTTTCACCTGACTCGCGATGGCTTGTTACGAGCTCCCTAGACTCTATAATTCGGACTTTCGACATTCCGACTGGTCGCCTTATTGATGCCTTCCGCACATCGAGTGTTGCATCTACTGTGGCATTTTCCCCAACTAGTGATTTCTTGGCAACAGCGCACGTTGATAGCGTTGGAGTCTACCTATGGTATGCACAGTTGCTTTCTGCCTCAATCGTCTTCTGCATCTAGCCGTTCACTGTTATTCAGGGCCAATCGAGCTCAGTTTTCCGACGTATCATTTCGCAGCATACCAGAGGACGATATTGGTACCAATGTCCCACTGCCTTCTATGCAGGGATCTGCAGAAGACGAAGGTATGCATGATAAATCCCTGCCATGATGCAATAGCTAAGTTCGACTAGCCCTTGAAGCTTTGTCGTCACTTGCATTGGCCGGACAAGAAAACCCTACGAATGTCTTCCTCATGTCACCACAATTTGATGGGGACCTTGTCACGTTGTCGCTGCTGCCGCGTTCTCGATGGCAAACTCTTCTCAACTTCGAAGTCATTCAGGTGTGTGGCTATAATTAAACTCGTATATACAGGTCGCTCTGACACATATCGTATTCTTTCGATGATTATAGCAACGTAACAAGCCAAAGGAGCCGCCAAAAGAGCCAGAAAAAGCGCCATTCTTTCTTCCCACACTCTCTGGAGTTGAACCCAGATTTGTCGTGGAATCGAAGGATGATACCAAGAACAAAAAAAATACTAAACGTCTACAAAAGGCGTCCGTATCTAGCGCGAGTGTATTCCATCAAAAATTAGCTGCAGAAGATCCTCAAGGAGATTGTAAGTCCATGCGTGCATATATTTGCTTTGAACCATATGCTGAGATCAGTCACTGTAGACAACGATTTCTTCGCTTACGCGAAGTCGCTGTCTCCTGCTGCTATGGATTTGGAACTGCGCTCCCTCGTTACTTTGGATGATCTACGGGCATTTCTAAATGCGCTAACCTGCCGTCTGCGCTCGCATCGCGATTTCGAAGCAGTGCAGACATTTCAAAACGTTTTCCTTCGCATGCACGGCGAAGTTCTACTGGAGAATTCGGAGACATGTCAAGACTTGGAGACACTGCGGGAGATACAGAGCAAAGAGAGTGAGAAGTTACTAGACTTATTGGCTTCATCACTAGGGATTTTGAGTTTTGTCAGGGATACATTATAAATGTTTCATGCGCGCCTAGATTGGCATATCATAAGCTGCGATTTTCAATGGAGTGAAGTTGGGCTAAGTTTAGGATGGTATGACGTCTCATGCATTATTTCATTCGCTCCTACTGACCACAGACCGGATGTCAACTCCAACTGACACGATCACGTTCTTGAAGCAATGGTAGATTATGGCTGAACTTGAACCACAGCCTGAACGCGTTCGCATTTTCCTTCCTGTCGACACTCCCGGGCTTATCCTGTTCCTTCTATATTTCTGAACGGCTGTACCGTCATGGCTTCCGCCCATATCCCTCACGAAATATGGTTGAAGGTCTTCTCACATGCAACCTATATCTCCGAAGCTCTCAGTTGTAACGACGGTCATGCATTAGCATGTTTAGCCAGGGACAGAGACGGGATCAGCTTACACAATCGCTATCAAGCTTCGATGGATACAAAATTGGCAATTTCTCTCGTCTGCAAATCCTGGAATGCCCTCGCATATGATTGTCTCTTCGAATACATTCTCGTCAAGGATGGGGATCATGCTGCTCGCATTGCAGCTACCCTGCAGCATCTACAACCGCGCTTCCTTGCTCACGATCGAATACCCCCCGGATGGTGGACATGCCGCCTGGAACTCGGAATGGACGGTGTCCACGTCTGGTCTGAAAGACATTCTGCCGCCCTTATCTATATTTTTACCAGCTGTCCGAACATCGCTGTATTTTCCGTTGCATTTTGCACAGCCGATGTGTACCTCTGGGATATGTCCGGGATTATTCACACCATTTGCAACGGCCTCATGCACCTGAACATCCGAAGACTAGAGATCAGGTATTGCCATACGTTGTTATGTAGGTTGCTTTCCATCTTGGCATCGACACTGGAAATGCTCTGGATTTTGCCGCATCCTCGGAAATCTTCAAAGCAGCCGGAGCCCGAGACAGTACATTTGCCATGCCTTCACACTCTGGTCTCATCCGACAATCGTATATTCAGCAACCTTGAATTATCTGCGCCTTATCTGAAATACTGTGTTTTTGATGCCCCTGCAGGCTCATCTGAGGCTCTCAATAGATTCCTGAAACGGAACGGCAGTCACCTTCAATATCTTGTATCCCCCGGCTTGGTACTACCGAGCCCAATCTCAGACTCTTGTCCTCTTCTCGCTCACTGGACACTCGACTGGAGCGGGATGCTTGTTTTGCGTCAGAATCAATTCAACATGACATTACGCTGTATTACCATTATGGACGACAAAAGCACTCGTGGCATCCTGTGGTTTATTGTGGCCCGCACTCTTCACAAAATCCTGTCCAGTCCTGAGACTCTGATTCATTTGGAGGTAGTTCGGTTCCGGCTACCTATACGCTCTGCGTCGAGTCCTCTCAAGCCGCTGACTCTCGAGCCCCGACTTGAATCATGGACTTGCGGCTGGATGCAAGATTTTGACACATTTATTGAGGCCTGTTGTCATCGTGGCATCCGGATAGAGGCGTCACTCGGGGCGGATGAGCAGTCAGCAAATGTATGGGAGGTTTTCACAATTCCGGGGTACGTTATATTCATGCTGCGTAGCTGAACTAGTACAATAACCGTCCTCGAAGACGATCGGTGTCTTTGATGCAGCACAGACTGGTTAAGTGCCTCGGCTCCGGGAAGGACCTAGGACATCGAGCCGGTAACTGATTTCATTGACACGCCGAAAGACAATGATATATTCAAGTACTAAAGTTAGTTGTATTGATTTTGTGATGTGCTGTACAATCGTTTCCATCCTTTGCGGATGTACATAGCTTAGTAGATGTGCGGATCAAGTGCGGGCTGCCGATGTTATACTACGTATCAAGTCCCGAGGTTGTCGGCGCTCCGGTGCATTGACGCTAGCGTGAACTTGAGTGGTCGTGAAGGCGGCTTGCTGAACCCCTTCCAACACTACCCTTCTGACCGACTGTCGGCCGTATGGATCCATTGACGCCTCTAACCGTTGGTAGGAATACAATACTAACATGCAAGTTCGCCTTGCTTGCGGTCTGCACTTCCACGGTCGCCGCTAACGTCTTTGAATGACTAGCTGCGACGACAGGCGCATTCGCCGGCGCGTATGGCCTGTTGAGAGGCTCCCCACGAGTGGGTCCTTTGACAGTGTCGGCAGCTATTAATGGTGGAATAGTGGGTGCGACATTCTTTAGTGAGGATATTGCGCACTTTCCATGTCGCACGCTGATGTTCCTGCCAAGGCTTTCGCGAGTACATCGCCAGTCCAGCCTTTCGATTAGCGTCAGGAATCCCGTTACAGATGCAGGAGGCGTCATCTACTTCGCAGTTTCAGCGACAGTCGACCTGGTGGGACCTGCGCATGCACAAAATTCCAGACACTGCAATCAGTGGTGCATTTACTGGTGGAGTGCTTAATGCGTGGAAGCGTATGTTCTTTAATATCATGCTGCATTTCAAAAGCCAAAAACGCGTTGCGTACAGGTGGCCGTTCAGGGATAGTGCCAGGTGTCACGACCGCTGGAATAGTGTGCACATTGCTCCAAATGATATACAACGAGCTCGACATTGCGAGGGTGAAATACATTTCCCGAACAATGCAGACATTAGAAAAGGGCCTACCTCCCATACCGCCCTCATCGACCTCACCACATCCGGAGCTCACCTTCAAAAAACCGTTCATAGAGCGAATGCTTATTGCGCTTGGACTATACCAGGTGTCAGATGAAGAATATTTGGAGAAGCTGAAATTCAAACGAGACACATACCTACACAGAATTCATCAGTTGGAAATGGAGCGTCAAGAAACGGCTGCGTCATCCGGCGAATCTGCAGACTGATGATGGATGTAATCTTCATTCCAAGGTCACAAAATCATTATACTTTAGTAATAATGTGCTAATTCTTCACACCCCAATCCTCCGTATCACGCGTGTTCCACATTTCGATCATGCCTTTGCCATCGTTGTTCAGTCCCCCTACGAATATCCAATGGTCCTTCACACACATTGCATTCACTTTCGCTATGCCCGAGGTCTCAGCCGACCACCCTTTCTGGGTTACAAGATTGTCTTCTGTCCCACGAAACACCGCATATGTGGCTAATTTGCCTAGCAACGTGCATGTCACGAGCACGCCGGGGCCAAGAAATGCCCTGTTTGCGGGCTGCGTTACTTGTTTCGTTCGTGGATATCAGATAAATCACATACACGGCTACTATCGGGCCCTCCGCAATATGCATCCACAAACCTTCATCCTCCTTCAGACCTTCCCATTTCCGGTGCCGTTTTCTTCGAAGTCTCGAAGGCGAGAGACGCTTTTCACCACCAGCCCCAAGCCATACGCGGCCATCTGCAGTTGCGGCTGCGAAGAATCCTGTCGAACTGACGGAGGTTGAAAGTACGAAGGGTGGGGACAGTGAGACGCCACTTTCTGGTTGAGATGTAACTGATAGACCAGTCACACATCAGCGTATATGCGAGCTTCTTGGCCGAAATCACTCACCAATATCAAAACGCGACAACATGGCATTTTGCACGAAGTCGTGCTGCAGCACTGCCGAATCATATCCCCCACTGACGAGTTCGCTTGGTCGATCTGGTATGAACCTCACCGTGCCGCATATCTAGGTCTATCCTCCAGACATAGCTCTGAATGTAGGCGGTGAACAAACTTACGTTGTTATGGCCTGCCTTCATCTTGGTAACTTTTCTCGTGGAAAGTTCGATCACGCCAACAGTGCCACCATCTGTACCAAAGGCGATATGTTTTTGATTGTCACTCACACTGAGCTTGCTACCGAATGTGTGAGACACCACAGGTGATTTCTTTCGTAGCTAAGGCTTACCTCATTCAATACATCTTCTTTATCCTCTCCAAGTATCAGAGTGCATTCAGCGTCTTTTTCCGTCAATATCATTTTGTCAGAATCAGCCGGGAATGCTATAACCTGGGGGGGCATCAATACCAGGAATACTAGATTATACCACTACACATACTCGGGGACCGCTGGCAAGCCAAATACAGCCTTCCCTGCCCTCCTTCGCCCTTGTGCAGACGACGGAAGATATCTCATCTCCCGACAACTTGATGGCTTGAACAACTCGCGGAGAAGGAATGTGGTATATCCGTAGGGTCCCGTCCTCTAAGCGTCACACATAAGCTCGCTAGCTCTGCCTCTGATGAAGTATGGACATGCCTGAACCTGCATGTAGCCAGCCGGACGATGAAAGCGTAAGAGAGGAGATCGGATGTGATGTGCTGACGGAGAGTTCAGGAGACATGTATTTGATGTCAACGGCCCTTCGCAGCTTGCACTCGTTCACGCGACGTTTAGCGCAGAGGACTAGGACTTGCCCCGGCTGAGATAGGAAATTCCCGCCGTCGCTCCGCATTCAGGCGCTTAGCTTGCGTCCGAGTTGCTGACCTTGCTGATCACTGTATTCAACTGCGATATTGAAACCTTCCTTCAGTATGGTGAAAACATCAGATGCGCGCGCGACCGAGAACGCGCCCAATTCAATAGAGCAGCTGAACGATCTCCTCAAAGATGATACCAAAGTCAAGGTTGCTGGTGCGCTCAGATTCTAAATGCTGCCGTCTTTTCCTGTCATGTAATCCAACATATTATGCAGGCATTGATGGTAAGCTGATCATATGGGAAGAAATGAACTGAGCCGTATCGTTTGGTGCATAAGTGGATGGTCTTCTCAGGGGCAAATTCATGGTACGCGTGAAATGCAAGTCGATAGATAGGCGGTCTGACCCAGAGCCCTTCGCAGTCTAAAGAAAAGTTTATGAGTGCGGCATCTTCGGACGGATTCGGCTTCTGCAGTGTGATCTTGTGCGTTAATTTACTGTACGCCGTGGATTTTCTTTAATTCTTTTGAGTTAGTGGCTGGGATATGCACGACACCGTCTACTCGCGGGAGCTGCTCATCTCCAATAGGGCCAATGGATATCGAGATATCTTAGCCTCCATTGATCTCTCCACGTACCGTCGCATCCCTTGGGAAAATAATGTTCCTTTCTTCCTGGTTTCCTTCCTCGACCCCGAAACTAAGGAGCCTATATGCGCGGACCCACGCGGTGTCTTGAAAAAAGTTGTAGAGTCAGCCGATAAACAAGGTTGGCAATGTTATGCGGGGTGTGAATATGAGGTGGGCACTGCCATTTTCCGGAATGTCCGCCGCTACGTGTTTCTCACATCAAGTGTGGCGATATTTCAGTATTTTCAGTTCAAAGGTGTTGTTCTTTCTCACATTACTGTACCTGTTTTGATGCTGATTATTGCTCCTCAGAAACTCCTCATACACTAGCCGAAAAGAACTTCAACAGCCTACAACCGCTGACTTCCGGGAGTAAGCAATGTCATTTAGCATATTGCTCGACATACTAAATTCTGGACTAGTGCATGGTTACTCGCTACTGAGAACGCAGTTGAACAATAACTATTTCCACGACATTTTTGACGAATCCCTCAATTTTGGAGTACCTCTGGAAGGCCACCGTTCGTCCTTGGTCATCTCTGTTTACCATATGCCAACGATACATTCACCTACACCCATCAGACACGGAGACAGGACCCGGGGTGTACGAGACCGCTCTCGCATATACCATGGCGTCACGAATGGCCGATAACGCAATCCTGTTCAAATACTTGGTGAAGAGCGTGGGTATGAAGCATGGTATAGTCCCTAGTTTCATGGCAAAACCTTGGGGAAATGTACGTATCATAAAGACTACGTGTGCCGTCATGCTAATCAAGAGTATGGTAGCTACCTGGCTGCAGTGGGTATGTTATGTCAAGTTCGAATATGACTTACCTTCTCATCGCGTGCACTAGCCACATACATGTCTCCTTGCGAGATCGGAATGGAAAGAGCATCTTTGCCGTATCAGATGCAGAATTAGGGATTGGTCGGAGAAACGCTGCTTATCCAGACACGAAGTTTATCAGTCAAGAAGCCGAATGGTTTCTTGCCGGAGTTTTGGAAGGGCTTCCTGACGGTATGTTCTCCATTATTGCATATACGAGTCGGACTAATCGGGATAAATCACAGTGATGCCTTTGGTGGGTCCATCCAGTTCATTGGATAAATGGTCTTTGTAAATCTTTCCTGTTCTTAGCTCGTCCCGACGATCAATGGATACAAACGTCTGGTCGGCGGCGAAGCCTTCTGGGCACCTAACGCCGTCACATACGGATACGACTCGCGCGCCGCGTCGGTGCGTATACTCTCTCCTCCATCTGTTCCTCCATACGCCACCAGGATGGAGATCCGCGTGCCTGGCGCCGACATGAACCCATACTTTGCTATGAGCGCAATTTTTGCGTTAGGTATGCGCGGCATTGCGAAAGAGTTGCAATTGTCAGGACCCCCTGTGAGTCAGTTGACGCTCGAGGACAAGAAGAATGGGAGGGTATAGTTCATAATGCCCAACCTTAGCGTATTGATGTACTAATGCTGCACTGGTCAGGTCCAGATGCTTCCACAGTCCCTCGAATCGGCAACAGAGCGCATGATGCGATCTGATAGCATCGCTCGTGAGGAGGCTGTATTCGGACAGGACTTCGTGGATCATTTCGGTGGTACGCGACAGCACGAAGTGAGACTTTGGAATGAGGCGGTGACCAGCTGGGAAGGTAAGATCCAGATTCCTAAACTAGTGGAACCGAAGTATCCTGACGGTTATGTGGCTCTGCAGTGGAGAGGTACTTGGAACTGTCGTGATAAATCTTACCTTCCTGTATATCATTCCATGTAATACTAGCCCGGTATGTACACATGACCCTCGAACGTGACCCGGTACACATGGTCTCGACTGTTCTGATCACTTTCCCCCATCCCAAACAGTGTATTTGGTTCTCATAAGACTTGCTGCCTGCACGATGCGGAACTTCTTAAACTTCCAACCCCCCACAAGCCCCAAAGACCGCTCTATCATATTGACTCGAGCGCTCTGTTGGGATAAATTCACCCCTCACCACCGCCATTTACACGGTGGCTGTCCTCACTGTGGTGACGTCAGACGCACAAAAATTTGCCGTTGAAATGGACGTTGCACAACAATGTCCTTTTTTGAAAGACTTTGCAGAAAGCGAACAAAGTGCCCGTCGCGATGACATAGTTTTCCGGATGCTGATCAGACAGGCACCGCCAGCGCCGAACAAGAGCTCCCACTGGCTGCGATTCATTCGTCTGTGTTTGCAAAGGTGCGTATGGGTGGTATAGAAAATCTTGACACACATGATTGTTCTGCTCACTGTCCTAATAGTCAGATTCTCGAGTATTGTATACTTTATCGCGGACGACCCACAGATGAGGGCGCTGTCCGGCGCGATGATGAGTGGGATCAGTCGTTCATCACCAATCTTGGTTCCACAGATGCTTTCTTCGATATCATCATGGCCGCAAACTTTCTCAACTTCAAACCTCTCCTGTGAGTCTTACGCATATAAGCTGTGCACATGTATTAATGGACGCGGTTGTGTAGAGACCTCGGCTGCCGTCGAGTAGCCAAAATGATACAAGGCAAAACGCCGAGCGAGATACGGGCCCTCATGAACATACTATAGGAGTGAAATAAGTGTCTATATTGAATGTCGTCAGTCCGAGTCTATTCGTACGAGGACTGAGGTAAATGTACCTATAATGAATGACTAGAAATAAGTATCAGTTTGTGAATATACGTAGTAGATATCGTAGCAGTGCTTACCCTCGTTCCGAGTCTATTTGTACGATCGCGCGAGTCGGAGGGTGACTGAAGGAAGACGTGGCGCGTGTGTATTCTGTATGCATACGGGAAAGCATTAGAAAATGAACGTAGGTATTGTCATAGTAAGTGCGTATTGATCACGATTCCAACACGTACGCAGGTGACAGGCCGGGAATCGCGAGATGTGTAAAGTCACGCCAATCCCATTGCGAACGGCAATGCGAACTAAAGAGAGGTCAACATAAGAGTCTGACCCGTTCGACCACCATCGGGCTAACACAAGAAACAACAGGTATAATGATCTAAGATGGGCAATACATGAAGCATCTCATTGAACAGTACTACGGCTGAGGGTATGTTATCGACGTAGATCTCAGCTTATGCAGATAAGGCAGTCTGTTCCGACTTTGAGCGGACACTATGGAACCAATGCAAGAAGTGTGTGACATCCTGTTCGAGTGATCAGATTTCAGCATGTAGCGGAACACACGAGAAAACTAACTGACCTGAGAAATGGTGCTGTCCATGCTCGACTCGGCAATAAACGAGGGAATTTTACCACCGGGGGTACTGGATGTAGCCATACGCCATTCGACATTGCCATTGTCGAGCTCTTTGAGGCGCTCGACGCTCACGTATCGACCTTTGACGCCTTTCTCTTCTAGCTTAAGCAAGTCTGGATCACCTGAGAGATCAACGGGCACCGAGACAATGATCCTGAGATAATAATGAATCTGTCGTGAGAACAAGACGGCCGTGCGGGATGTGTGACTTACCCTGTCTTCGGCGAAGTCGTATCGAGATACATTGTTTGCAAGACCGTGAATATCCTGGGCGAGACGGGTGGTGGGAACGTGTAGTATAGGGTCCAGACGGCTTGTGTCGGAGATATTTGGCTCACGAGCGTCACCTTCTTGATGTCCGGAATATATCTATGCATGCAGAGAAGAGCAGAATCGCGGAGGGTGTAAGCGGGATTTGTGGCAAAATACCACAAGAATACGCACTGCATCTCGTTCTGTGCCTTATCCACGCCGAGTTTACTCCAGAACTCATCAAACGTCGCATCCTCAGGAGTGTGCTCGCTGAGTCGACAATGCCAGGGAGCGCCATCCTGGGGACCCTTGGGACGCGAACATGTTTTGACGATGCCTTTTTGATAGGTCTTTCCCTGTTTCCAAGATGGCGTGGAATCCAAGAGTGCCTGGCCCAAGGAGACGAGAGTCTCCTCCGAAGGGAGTTCTGAGATCGAGATGAGTGCGGCCTGGAGGAAATCTGACATGGCAGACACACACCTGATAGCTTCACAGGTGCGATGGAGAGTTGGTAGCTTGCCGACATTTTCTGGGTGGTGGTGGTTGGGAGGAAGTTCTGTGAGAATAGGGAAAGCAATGCGGGGCTTAAGAACGGCGGTAACCTGGCTACCACATATTGATTCAGAGTTGAGATGGCCCGGATATTATAAATAGTCGTCGCTGCACGGCTGCGGGTGGTGGACGGAACGTCACGGGCTAATAAAGAGAGAGACTCAGACTCTGGACGAGGTCAGGCTCAGCCACCGACGGGACTATAGCCGCCGGGGGGGAGGCGAGGACGTAAAGTGATCTTGGACATGGCCGCACTCGGCGCTCTCCTCGATACTGGCCGGGGATAGCCCTCGTATAAATGAGGGCCCCCAGCCTTGCCTCTTCTCTGACGCCCACCAGCCATGGCCGCCTCCCAGCTGGGGCTCACCCTCTCCCACCTCCTCGACCGTCCCGCTTGGGACCTCCCTGAACGCGACGGCCCCCAGTGCGCACACATCCCCCTCTATACGCGGACCGGTGCTCACACATCACCCTTTCAGTTCCGAAGACCCGTTCCATGTCGCGGACAAGGTACGTGCTCTATAGCACTCAGCGGACATCGGCATACTGACATTCGCGCTCTCGGTCAGCTCACGGACCTGGACTCCTCCCTTGCTCTTCTGCAGAGATATCGCAACAGTCTGCGCCCAATCCACCGTATCGCGTCAGACATCCTCCTCCTCATCTTCTTGGAAATACAGGATGATGATGACAGCCCCCTCCACTCTACCTTTGGGTGTAACAACTGGGTGCGCCTTGCTCATGTCTGCCATCGCTGGCGGTCCATCGCGTTTGCCTGTCCCTTGTTGTGGACGCGCATCAGCACGCGCTATCCCGAGGCGGTACTGGCATGCTTGTCAAATTCAGCAGATGCGCCTTTATCGCTCTTCGTCTCAGTCGGCGTGAGCACCGAGACCATGGCCTACGTAATTGGCGCAACAATGCCGCATGCGGGACGAATACGCCATCTCTACTTGCCATCGACATTCGAAAATACAGACCTGCGCCAGACGCTGGCGCCCATTCTGCAATCTCCCATGCCCACTCTCGAAACTCTGCATGTATATAAAGTCGCTATGGACAGCGATTGCTTCCCGCTACCTAGGTTGTTTGCTGGTCAAGCGACTCAATTAACGACACTCAAGCTGTGCTACACCTTCCCTGAATCCGACAGCGTCTCTTTCGCGAACGTTAGGCGATTGCTTATTAGGGGCAAGAAGAGGAAGCCTATAACTATCGAGCTCCCGCGTCTGTTCGAGATCCTGGAGGCATGTCCTAACCTCGAGGAGCTGAGAACCGTCAAGGCGAGTTTCACGGAATCTGAGGACGACGAACGACCACTTCGCCGCCTACGGCTTGAGCATCTGCGCGTCCTTGACCTTACTCGTTGCTCCCCACACGTCGTCGCAGACATCTTCCGCCATCTCATCATTCCTGAATGCGCCATCCGCTTCTACACATGGCTTGAGAGAGCAGCAGATTTCACCTTCCGCTTTGGAATACCTGAACTGCTCGACGAGTCGTCTCATCTCCGTGAAATCACGAAGCTACACGTGGAATATACAAGTGCTAGTGACCTCATTACCATCCAAGGGATGACTCGTACCGCCCCTTTCCATATTGTCGCCTCGATTCCGAGCGGAAGTGACATGGGTGAGATGTCAACGATTGCAGGGCACCTCTTATTGTCCATCGTCCGAACGCTAGACCTCTCCTGTCTCGAGGAATTCATAATCGCGGAATCGTACTACCATCGCGTCCATCTTGGGTTTACGAGGAGGGGATGGGCGGAAGTGTTTGAGCGAATGCCGCAGCTGAAGACGCTGCATATCCGAATAGACAGCATGAATGATGCAGGGTTCTCCAGGTCGATCCTTTCGGCCTTGTCCACGGTCAAGGAGATCACTGGAAACCTTCACTGCCCCTTGCTGGAAACAATTACTATGGTCAATGACAAGACGTGGTCCTCGCTCCAGTGCTACCTCTTGGCAGTGGAACGAGCCAAGCGAGGCCACCCGTTAAAAAAGGTGTCTATGCGCCTTCCGTACTATGAAAATTTCGAGGATATCGTGGACACAGACCTGCCCGCAATGCGACAGGTCATTGAATCAGTGGATCTGGACCCACCATCTATAGACAGACCAGCTTTCCCAGACTTGACATGGTAAAGTGTTCCAAGTATTCAGGAATCTTTCCTCAACAAAATCTGCTTTAATGATACTTTGTCACCTCCTGCTACTTGCTTTAGCTTTTGTTGTATGATAGTGTGTACGAAATCTCCTCTCCGTATTTGTTGTATCATTTCACTGTACCTTTATTGGTTGTAGATATTACTGACGTGACTTTGTACATTAATCTCGTGACCTTCTGATGAGAATCCAAACTGAACATTAGTGAGAGCACAAAGCAAAGGGTGTATGTCAAGCAGTTTGTGATGTTTGTACATCAGTTGAAGGATTCAGATCCACAAATCCAAAGTATCGACTGCGACCGTGGGCAGCTTCGTCCCGCGGGAGTTTCTCGCCCTTGTTGAGCACGATGCCAATATATTTGCGGTCACCTCGCATCCGGGATTCTTTGTAGAACCGCACGTAGCCTGGGACCAATGCAAAGAGGGTGTGGTCACGTCCCATTCCCACCTGTTTAGATTCGGGCAAGGCGGGTGAGTCAGTCTCAGGAAAGACAACCTTATCGGGACAATCTTACGTGTTGGCCAGGGTGGAACTGAGTGCCCCGCTGTCGGATGAGGATGTTACCGGGCACGACGTATTCATCTGGAGGATACGGTGGCCGAATGACACTCGTCTGCACATAAATTGGGGGAACAGGCTACAGCGCACCTGAAAACTTTTTGACGCCTAGCCGCTTCCCCGGAGACCCACCATGGTTCGACACGGTGCCCCCAGCACGCTTCGTGGCCGTGCGGACGGCCCCGAGTCCTGCGTGTGCACACACGACCGTCAGATGGGTGCTTTGTGTCGCCCTGGTCAAAGCACAGCACTCACCTGTGGGACTGAACAGACTACGGGCGGCAGCGAGGTGGGACAAAGACCAAAGAGGCATGCTTTATAGGTATGCGGCCAAGTCGTGTCGCAGTGGCGGAACTTCGCGGTTTTGTGTAGCTGTGGCACCCGCAAATCGCAGAGGCCACGGCGCACTTACGTAAGCTGGCAGATGGGGTTCATAAGAGTTAAGCGTCCGGGCCCACCGTCCTCTACCATCTCCAATCTAGCGCACCCCCGCTTACATTCATCTGTCTATACGCCGCCAATTTCATCATGGTTCTCCTCGTCACCTCCGATAACGAGCAATTCGTCGTGGATAAGGAGGTCGCCGAGCGCAGCGTCTTGATCAAGAACATGCTCGAGGGTATATCACCTCATTGCCACTTCGCGTGTGCAAGTCAAGATGGCAATTGACTATTTTTATATAGATGTTGGTGAGAGCGATCAGCCTATTCCACTGCCCAATGTGTCGTCCAGTGTCCTGAAGAAAGTGAGTTTTCGAGCCTTGTTCCTGTCAGGTTATCGACGCGAAGCGCCCGCAGGTCTTGGAGTACTGCGAGCACCACCGGGGGGAGCCTCTGCCAACTGCGGAGTCTGAGCAAAATCAGGATGAGACCCGCAAGCGGACAACTGACATCAGCGAGTGGGACCAGAAGTTTATCACTGTCGACCAGGAGATGCTGTTCGAGATTATCCTTGCCGCCAACTACCTTGACATCAAGCCCCTCCTGTTTGTGGTTCCGAGATTCATTCCCTCAGGCATTTTATGCTTATTTGTTACGCGCTCATAGTGACGTCGGATGCAAAACTGTGGCGAACATGATCAAGGGTAAGACACCTGAGGAAATTCGCAAGCTGTTCAACATCGTCAATGACTTCACGCCGGAGGAAGAGGTGTGTGATTATCGCTCTTCATTTGCGTCAGGGAGCTGACTTGTGGCAATAGGCTCAGATCAAGAAGGAGAATGTAAGTGGCTCCCAAACTGATGGGTATGTAGGAACTAAATCTGTTCTTATCATAGGAATGGGCGGAGGATCGCTGAACATCTCGTTGGATCGTGTCTTTACGACTAGTCAGTATTATGTTTTCCTCGATGTCGTTATCATTAGCCCCCCTTCCTCCCTACTACTGTATTCGTATCCGAGAGATGATTACGACGTAGAGCATACGATGGCTCTTTCGTAGAATCTGTTGTATGCATATCGACAAATTAACCACAGTGCTGCTGCGGGCATCGCGACATGAGCACAAATTTGAGGAGACGCTGTGGAGTCTGAGGGAGGCGCGTAAACTGGCGCGACGCGCAGCGATGGTCACGCGTTCCTACCATTTACAGGCGACGCGTTGCGGGAGACGAACAGCTCCCTTCCGCCCTCTTTGAGCACGCTTGCATGCATGTCTCGCATCCCTGAGCTGCCCGGCGCCCCCGTTCCTCACAGATCGGACCAAGACCACTGGCTGAAACAAACCGTAGCCCGACTATGTAGGCTCGAGAACGAGCGGTGAATTCCATCAGCTATATGCCAAAGTCTTGTGTTCATTGTTCTCTGATCCCAGATTTCCGGGCAGCCAGCCTGTCAGTTTCGGCATGCGGGACCTGGCCAAGCTTGATACAAAAGAGTGCGTCGAATTCGGTCACGTCCGCGTCTAGGCATGCCAATTCAGCATTCCATTGCCAGCTACTGGGTGTGCGAGAAGTCGGATGGCGTCCGCGTCCTGCTCTTTGTACAAACGAACCTCAACACCAGCGGCCAGACGGTCTATCTTGTATGTGTTGTCGTCTCTCGTCCGTCCTGCAGGAATCCAACTGGCACTTTCTGTCTCTCTGCAGATTGACCGCCACAATAGCTATCGACAGCTGACCGGTCTTTTCTTCCCCCATCACGAGGACCCCAGGATGCCACTTCGCAGTACTCTGGTTGACGGTGAGCTCGTTGTTGATGTCGACCCCCACACTAAGCAAGTTTGTCCATTCCCTTCGCTTGCAGCGTATGCCAGGAATCTTAGACTTTATGTTTCCTTGTTTAGGAAACCTTGCGTTATCTCGCGTTCGATTGTTTGGTCGTGGATGAACAGAACGTCATGTCGAGACCTCTGGACAAACGATATGGTGTATGCATCTCGTTTCATGTCCTGTGGCCCCCACTGAGGCGGGCGTATGTTGACGCAGAGACTGCAAATGTGGTTCTATCGGCCATATGCGAAAATGATGGAAGAATACCCTCATATGGCGCAAGCCCAGCCATTTCAGTCAGTCATCGTTATCTGATACTGATGTCTGCACAGAGACTCACCCTATCGAACGCAGAATCAAGGTGAAGGAAGTCAAGCTATCATATCACGTCGAGGATGTCTTCAATATCGACCTGCCTGCGCTGCAGCACGGCAACGACGGTCTGATCTACACCTGCGCTGAAACACCGTATATTCCTGGCACAGATCAAAACATGTTTGTATCACATTCGGTTCGCCCTTGAACGGCAAACGACTGAACACGGTGATATTGCACAGACTAAAGTGGAAGCCGCCGTCAGAGAACTCGGTCGACTTCAAGCTGGTGCTGCGATTTCCCCCGACGCCCGGCAAGTCTGCGCAGCCAGATTTCTTCGCCAAGCCGACATTCGAGCTGCACGTGTACTGTGGCGACGAGCGGAATGCGCCGCGCTACGAGTTTTACGACGTCATGCACGTGGAGGCGGGCGAGTGGGAAAGGTGCGCACCCGCGCATGTGCCGTGCCGCCCGACGCTAACGCGCGTTTTCGCCAGCATGAAGGCGTCCGGCGAGCAGCTCGACGACCGCATCGTCGAGGTGCACTGGGACCCCGAGCACGAGCGCTGGCGCATGATGCGCTTCCGCGACGACAAGCCCGCGGGGAACTACAGGACAGTCGTCGACAACATCATCAAGACCATCGCCGACGGCGTCGAGAAGGAGATGGTAAGCACGCGCCGCCGTCCTGCTCTGCTCAACCCTGCCCACCCCCACGCTCACACTCGAATCCCCCCCCCAGCTCGTCGAGCGCTCGGCCGCGATCCGGAACGCATGGAAGGCCCGCCACGCGTCCGCCGGCGCGGCGCAGGCTGCGCCGTCTGCGCCGATGCGCGCCCCGCCA